CGAGTGCACTTCTAGTGAATCCTCCAATCTGCAAAATGGCGGATGGAAGAGAAGGCCTCATGTCTGTCCGTCCAAACGAGTGTCCGCTGTCCAGTGTCCGGTCCAAGTCTTCTTCGAGTGTTCTAGTGAATCCTCAATCAGCAAAATGGCGGATGGAAGAGGAGGCCATATGTCTGTCCGTCCAAAAGAGTGTCCGCCGTCCAGTGTCCGGTCCAAGTCTTCTTCGAGAGCTGCAGTGAATCCTCAATCAGCAAAATGGCAGAAGAGACTGCTTTCATGAAACAGCTGTATCCTAGCTTAGCATGGACATTTTGGTTGATCATTATAGGTATAATATACACGTCTAATAATCATCCAAGAAACTGCCCTTCTCCACACGGCGACGAGTTTTGTTGATCTCTACAGCTTTGCTACCTTCCTACCATTGTGATTGGTACTGAAACATCCCTGAAAGTCGATGGCTTTTGACCGGCTTTCGACCTCGGTAATGCCATTGAAGTCAATGTATTTTCAGGTCCATCTTGCTACACTGGGCATGCTCACCGTAGCCACTAACGTGATGACAACGTACGCACTCCATAGTAGACTCGACACTTAAAACTACATTACTGTAGGTAACAGCGACAATCAATCATACTATAGCATAGAGATTATCAGATTGCGTGCATCTCTATTAAAAAGGCCAACGCAATCACTATACTAGACTACACGAATCTTCTCCTTGGCCATTGCTGCGCTCCAACTTGGCCTCAATCTCTCTGAAGAATTGCTCACGTTATTCGTTCTCTTTAAGCTTTATTCCTTTCTTCTTCAAGATAGTAAACGAGTCGTTATTGAGCTCTTTGCTTATTCCATTCTATACTGAGCAACGCTTGCCAATCCAATACAAACTCACTGAATTGGTTACTTCCACCAGTCTGCATTCCACCACTTGGTTGCCACAGTGATCGTAAGTTGAAAATTCGCTTTTCTGCAATATTGCATGATAGTGTGGGTCTATTGCCCCATTTTGACAGCCTTTTCCATGTTATTGCAATGATACCATGGATAATTTGCACAATTTTCACCTACTTTACCTGCATGCTACTACCATGGGCATATTGAATGTCTCTGCGTATCCTGGAAATAAAATGATGATCCTTTGCTGCATGATAGAACTACGATTAAACATAGTCCAATTAGACATCATGACAATCAGTCCAGTTGAGAATGATACTCTATCCTAACAATCCGCAACACAAGTTGACATCATTTCAATTTACATTACTACTGCAATGACCAATGATGATCCTTTGCTGCATGATAGAACTGCGATTAAAAATAGTCCAATTGGACATCATGACAATCAGTCGTGATGATATACTGGATATCTAGATGTATCCTGGGCATAACATGATGATCCATTGCGGCATGATAGAACTGCGATTAAAAATAGTCCAATTAGACATCATGACAATCAGTCCAGTTGAGAATGATACTCTATCCTAACAATCCGCAACACAAGTTGACATTATTTCAATTCACATTACTGCTGTAACGACTAATGATAATATACTAGACATCTAAACGTATCCTGGATATAAAATGACGATCCATTGCTGCATGATAGAACTGCGATTAAAAATAGTCCAATTGGACATTATGACAATCAGTCAAGTTGAAAATAATGCTCTATCTTAACGCAATATCAAACAGTCCGCAGCACAAGTTGACATCATTTCAATTTACATTACTGCTGTAACGACCAATGGTGATATAATAAATGTCTATATGTATCCTGGAAATAAAATGAGGATCCATTGCTACATGCTACGACTGCGATTAAAAATAGTCCAATTGGATATCCATTACAGTACAATCAGTCAAGTTGAGAATAGCACCCTATGTTAACGCTATACCATAACAGTCCGCAACACAAATTAACATTATTTCAATTTACATCACTGTTGTAACGATGAATGGTGTATACTGAAATATCTTCTAGACGTATGGTGGAAATAAAATGATGATTCATTGCTGTAGATGATGATTGTAATTGAAAATAGTCTCTAAAAATGATAAACTCATACTGTTCAGTACTCGAATTTTTCTACAATACCTTAGCTTATTCATAACTATGCGTGTTTCTGTAGAAAAGATTGGGATAGATTAAAAAGATGGATGAGTCGACCGTAAACACTAGATTCAATACTGAGGTGTGCCGGATAACGCCATAACAAACAACTCATAGTTAAGTATTTCGATGATAGCTACTACAGTATTTGCCCATACAACTAAGCAATTTAAAAAATGTTAGACCTAGCAATACACGTATTTGCAAGATTGAAATTGAAAGCTTATAAACATGACAGTGATTTGACTCCCCTACAATATCACCATGGACTATTAGAAATAGTAACTGCTTCAATGTCCGATCATTCAATCAAATTTTAACTCTGCCATCAACAGTTCTATTCTTATACTAATGAGCTAAATACCAACATTTAGTTATTCGATTGGCGTACGAGTGCAATTACATATAGCATTGACTTACTATTATCTTAATGGATTACCGTCAAAATTTCTTCTGCAGTTACTTAACTAAGATGGGTACATCAACCAAAGACGAGAAAGTCAAGGAAAGTGATGAGTTACAAAGTAGTAAATCCAAGAGAAGGGATAGGAGCAAAGAAAGAGACAATCGTCGCCGAGAACGTAGCAGAAGTCGAGAACATGATAGATCAAAGCGACGTGAACGTAGTGGTAGTCGTGATAGAGATGGACGTAGCAGACGGCGCCGTCGAAGTGACAGCCGTGACAAGGAAGACATAAAACGTCGCGGCCGGAGCAGAAGTCCCGAGCGTAGTGAATCAAGTAGTAAGAAGGAGAAAGATAGAGATAGTCATCGCCATGACTTTGATACTGATCGTACAAGCAAAAGTAGTAAGCGAAGTAAAGATGATGCACAACTCGATAAAGATACTAGCAGTGGTAATAATCAAGGTACAAGTCAATAAAAAATAGTAATGGCCACGGTATCAGCTAATTGTAACTTGCTC